TTCCTCCCGCCCCCCCCCTCCAGCTCAAACCACCCCCCTGACCCCCCCCCGAGCCATAACAGGATTGGGAGACTACTCCCCCTGAGCAGTCTTCTCCAGTATTGTATTTTTATTGTTGTAATATGCATTTGTTTTGCCATCAAAATGAGGTCTGTGAAATATAAGGTTTCTTTTAAGCTGACTGTGTGTCATTTCTGGACCTGGGGTAAGAACACCAGCAGTAGGCGTATAAGGAAGAGCCAGGTGCCCGCATTATTTGGGGCCAAGTAAGTGTTTGTCCACAAGGTCACTCCATCAGATCCTGAAGGTTTATTGAGACCTACACTTCCCACCCACTCCCAGCCCCACAAATTATTCCCTGCTGCTGCCTTTCATGACAATCCTTGGGGCAAGTAAGGGACCTAGTTAACATGCCTATCTTGCCGGTGGCTACTTCAGGGTTGATGAGTAGTGGTGGTGAATGTTGTTTTGGCATTGAACTCTGAATAACTAGTGAAGGCAGGTGGAGTTGGGCTCCATGGTGCTCACTATAAGGGAATGAATTGGTGAGGGGGAGACCAAGGGTGGGAAGTATTCTGGGTGGGAGTGCTGGGGTGTAATAGTGGCAAATGCCATAGGTGCTGCATTATGCCGTCTAGGGTAGCCCCAAACAGATGGGTCTGCAGTAAGGGAATTGGCTGTGGTGGAATGCAAAAGCTGGCAACTAGAAGGTAGCTTTTGGCTTCCAGCTGTCAGGAAGGAGTAGAAGCAACTTGGAGTTTTTATAGGGTGCAGCCAGATCCATGCTGGGATGGCTGGGCCACAGAAAGGACTAATGGGCTGCTGACAGCCTAGCCTCAGGAAAGCAATAGGGTCTGGACATGGGACAGGGATTTGCCAGGGCATTGCTGGTGCTCAGAAAGCAGCAGAAGCAGTGTCTTGTGGGTATATCTTGGAGACTTGGGGCTTCGGGGAGGGATGGGGCCTGCCTGAGCCAGCTCCTCAGGCCCGACGAATTTTCATCTCAGTACGCTTGAGGGAGTAGTAGAAGCCTTTCCACTGGGCCCAGTTGATGCCATTGGCATAGGAGAGGTGGGAACCACCCAGGTAGAAGCCGTTGAGATTGGCGAAGTGGCAGCTTCTGAACCAGAAGGCCCCTGAGGAGAGGGCTGCACAGTACTGAAGGAAGAGGTCCTGGTCTCTGTCGAAGGTGGAGAACTTCTGGCCACTGTGGTAGGACAGTGAGTCACCTGGCAGGAGGGAGAGAGGATAGAACTACTGAGGCCAGGAGCAGAGCCTTGTGCTGGCAGTCTAAGTGACAGCAGTTGATGGATGACACTGGGGGACAGAACAACATCATGTGGCATCCTGTTGGGATGGAGGCACCCTCCCTGAGCCACAAAGAGAAACAGCTGTTCTGGAGCAAGGCCAGGGTGGCTGTTCCCTAGGGCTGGGGTTCAGGTGGCTGGAGTTAGTCTGGAGAGAGCTGTGGCTCTTCCAAGTCCAGAAGGGTTGAAGGAGGATCTTTAAGGAGCCAATGGGGCAGGGGCCAATCCTATGTTATTGTGCCCCGCCCCCTGCCCTGCCACTGCCTCTGAAGAAGCTGATAGGGGTACCTGCCCCGCCATCCTCGAAGCCAGCCACGTAGAGGGTATAGCCATCCTCCTCAGCACTGACGGCGTTGGGGGAGATGGAGAAGTCAACATACTTGGCATAGGCTGTATTGTTCTCAAAGTCTTCCAAGTCCACTCGCAACTCATACTTCTGCTTCAGCGTCAGGAGGTGCAGGTTCTGCAGCCCTAGGGATGGGTAGCAGCTGGTTAGCAAAAACTTGGCTGAGGGGCAGCCCCTACCCTGTGGCCCCACCTTCCCCAGCCAGTACTCCCCATCAGCACGGCCAAAGCCCAGCTTGTAGTCGTTCCAGCCCCGGAAGAAACTCACTGAGCCGTTAAATCTTTTCTGGAAAACCTAGAAGCAAGAGGATAAGGGACTGGATGATGAAGGCTCAGTACCCTCAGGGGCTCTGCATGGTCCTGCCCTGCCCCCCAGGCCTGGCACTGCGGAGCCAGTTTAGTAAGGACTATAGTGAGTATTGGGGAGTTGCTAAAACAGAACACACACCACCTCCAGGCCTCTCATTGAACATCTGCTGCTGAAAAGGGGGTACCTACCTGGCCTCTTGTCCACTGAGAGACAAGAAGGGGGAAAGATTAAGGGAAATTTGGGGGCTGGGGACATAGCTTAGTGGCAAAGTGCCAACCTAGCTTAGAGGCCCTGGATTCCATCCCAGCACTTCGTGATAAAAGGGAGCAGGGGGATCTAGAATACCTGGCTGTGAGCAACGCTACTTCTCTGGGTCTGCAGTTCCTCATTTAGAAAAGGCATCTACCTAATAGGACCACTGTGAGGACAGCATGCACTAGTCCTCAAGTGTGTGTAAGTGTTAGCAGTCCTGGGTCCAGTCCCTATAAAGACGAGGAACCCAGTTTGCAGAGGTGACACTCAGAGTCATGCAGCTGCCTGGACCACATCTGGCCTGAGGTCCTTTTGCCTACTCACCGTCCATTTGCCACCCTCAGTTGTCATGTCACAAAAGACAGGCACTGGTACACTGGGGCCAGAGGGGTAGATGAGGTACACACCATCTGTCTGATAGCCCTGAGCGTAGATATCATCACAGTCTAGGGGCTGCTGAAGGCAGGACTTCTCCAGAGCTGAGAATGACAATGTGGGGACAGCAAGGAGAAAAACTAAAGCATAAAGGACACCTTGGCACCCCAGTTTTCCCCCAGGACTAAGGGACCCTGTCATGAGAAATCTGGAGATTTCTCTAGGGGCCACCTGCCAATTTGTAGAGGGGAAAATAGTCCTGCAGAGCCTGGCTTAAATGACCTCATGTGGATGGGGGCTACTTACCATCTCCCCGTATCCCGGAGGCCTGTGGGGCACAGGGAGGTGCAGAGAGCAGGAGCAGCAGCAGTGGCACAGCCAGGAGAGCCTGGGGTTGGGAGATGGGCTGAATGTAGCCCCCAGCATGGGCCAGGTACCTCCCAGGGTTCCCCCTGCCTGAAACCCTGCCCTCTGTCTTTTTCCCCTTTCTATTCTCTGGGAGAGGCTCAGTATCCCCAGAGCTTAGGTTTCAAGCAATTCCCCCCTATGTGTCTCTCTCTGTCCCCTATCTGGCAAGTGGCTTGTCTCCACCA